GCTTTTCCCTCGTCTGTTTTAACGACGCCTCGCTGTAGCTGTGTTTCAGCTGGCTGATTTTTTTCTCCCCGCGGGCGCGAGTAAAGTTAGCTCTGACCAGCAGCGGGGAGCTCGGCATTGATGCTGGAGTGTTTTTTTTTTATGCTGTCTGAGAGCTCCGCTGGCTTCATTTCCCCCTCGTTTGTTTTTCAGATGTTTACTTCGGTCAGGGTGTTCAGGCTGAGCAACGCCAACCTCACCAATCAAGGACTCAACAAGATTTTCAACGACCTCTGCGAGAATCTGCTCAAGGTGACCCTCTGCACCCCCGCGCTAACGAACTCCTGTTCTCACCTGTCACCTGCTCTCCGCAGAACTGCTGCGCCTACTGTTTCAGAAAACTGCTTGAGTATGGCTGGAAAAACAGCTGCACGCACACATGCCTTCAGAGATAAACTTTGATATTGATTCTTTGAGGTTTCTCGTGCCACAAGGTGCACATTGCGAGCAGCTTGCAAATTCAAAAACACATTTAAAGACTGTAGCAGTTGTAGTGCTTTCAAAAGTCAGGCATGAGGTTGAAGCGCAGTGTAACCGGATACACAGATTTCATCTTCATCCAAGACTTTAGGTTATTTTTTCACTAAAGGATGTAGACGTTCAGACTTCTCTGTTCTTATTTCCTGCACTTTGTTGGACAGGACACATTTGCAAAGCTTTAGTCCTATATAAATTTGTCATACATGTGATCTTTCAGTGTGATGATGGTTATAACAGTGGCAATGTTTGTGAACCAGTTTCTTTCATAAGGCACGGCTCTGTATGAGATGTAGAGAGATGACCAGGGTAAATGCGTATTGCCCTTTGCTGTGGGGGTGAATGAGCGTCTCCTCTCCCCCTCTCCTGTTCTCTCCCTGCAGAGTCTCTACTTTAAGCTGCGCTCCATGATCCCCTGCTGCCTCTGCCATCTGAACTTCACCGTGGCCGTTCCTGAGGACGAGCTCATTCAGGTGCATTTTGCAACACCCCGCCCCTCCCCAGCCGTGAGATCTAACTGCTCTACACCATGTGGAGCCTGTGCTCACTCCTCCACAGCTGTGACGCTGCTCATTCTGTGAGGTCAACAAGCCATTGCCATCACCCGTAGGACGTGTTGTTCACACCCTAATGCAAACTTGAGGAGATATGAGGTTTCCACCAATACATTACATTATTATCAATTAGCTCTCATCCAGATTGACTTACATAGGTTACAATTTTATCCATTTGTGCATCTGGATATTTACCAAGGCTGGGTTAAGTACCTTTTCCATGGGTACAACAGCAGTGCCCCAGCGGGGAATCAAACCAACAACCTTTTGGTTACGAGCCCTGCTCCACACTGCCTTCCCGATAGGATTTTTCTCCATCCCGCTTGCATCCGGTGCCCTGATTGAAAGGTAATGGGTGCATTGGGATGGATGCGAGTCCGTGGCATTTCTCTCAGTTTGATGAAGGCGTGTCCACTCTTTCAGGTGGCGGTCACTGCCGTGGCCATGACATTCGACAAAGACCAGGCCCAAGAGAACTGGAAACTCGGCGCGGACAAGACACACATGAAAGGTGGGTGGACTGGCTTATCTGTGACCACACTGATGTCATTAATATTTTGTTGTTGAGGATTTTAAGTACTCCCACTTGTAGCGTCTGTCTGATGAATTCTAATGAGCGCACGTGCTCCACCTGTTTACTGGTAAAGCTAGAGCTGATACCACACTGCATATTCATGGTGTGAGCCTAAGAGTGGAGAGCAAATGTCATCAGGGCTTGGTCTTAGCAGCCAGGTGTCTGTGCTGGGGGGAAACTCCCCTCATTCTTCTGTTGAACAGAATGACGTGGCGCTGTGAGTGATGTCCAGCCCCTTTTTGACTGCTCTCCTGTCTTGCTTCGCAGCGATATCGGAGAACGAGGAGCAGCTCCAGTTCCCTCTGGAGCTGTGCACAGAGAGCCCGTCCACAAACCCCTTCTCCCCCTGCAGAGGTACAGGTAGGTGGAGCCCCCCACCCCCGCGTCAGGGGCCGCTCTCTCGCTGTCACCACTGCCACCCCCTGTTGCTGGCATCTCAGTATCTCAGTGCTAACTGATATCACCATAAAAAGAAGGGTTTCATTGTGAGCAGTCTTGTAATTTGAGTGCACCAACCTTTGATTTATTATTTTTTTTTTTTGAAGAATATGTCATTCATGTTTTAGACTTGTGGTTATTGTACGGCCTGAAAAATGCAGCTTGCCTATTTATTGTATGAGAGAGCCCTTTAGATCTGGTTTTTCATACGAACACATGTGCATTCATTTTGTGCCTTTGTGTTTAGATTTGTTTTTGTTTTTATTTTTCTTTTTAGATGAGATTTTTTTTGGAGAGGGATTTGGGAAAATTGTTTTTCAGTCAAGGGCCATCTTGGGATTTGGGGAGGGATTCTTTCTGTACCAGAGTACTTTTGAGGGCAGCGCAGTTCTTTGTACGTACAGTTGAGGGCAGTGTG